AGACGGCCCTGAGACACGCAGACTATTATTAACAGGCCTTTTTGAAGCATTCCGAAATCCCTAACACTTTTATTCCATGTTGTATATCACGGTTGCTCCAAGACCCGAGGGCATCGAAGTTTGTAGACATACAAAGTTTTGAAAAGGAAGTTTTTTTTTTTTTTTTTTTCACATGAAAGAGTCAATAGAAAACAATTATACTATTTAGTATGCAGGCATGATATTTGATCAGGGGGATACCATTGTGGTGTGTATTGTTTAATACTATTTTCTTATTAAATACATTGTTCTTCATGTGAAAAGTGGATTCCATGAGCTTGGTGTTTAGGTCACACGACTAGATAATTCAAATGATCACAGACATTTACTTAACGTATTGATTGAATTATATCAATAAATCAACACACAACCTTTTCTTTTGTATTTTCTTTTTCTTCATCCCACTAAATTCAATACTTCGTCATGTGACCCGGACACGTCGGAAATTCTTGCCATGCCGTTCCAGCGACATGTTTTCGGAAATGCTACAAAAAAGGTCTTATGTGTGTGTATACATATGTATATGTACACCTACACACACCCACACTCACCAACACACACGCACAAACACATAATGTATATATATGTGTGTGTGTGAGTGTGTGCATATATATATGTTTATATATATATATATATATATATATATATATATGTATAAACATATATATGTTTATATATATATATATATATATATATATATATATATAAATGTGCATGTGTAGACACATATAAAAGTAAATGAATGAATATATATGTATATATATGTACATATGTATATCACATACATACATACACACACACACACACACACACACACACACACACACATATATATATATATATATATATATATATACACATATATACACACACATATAGTGTATGTGAGTGGAAAGAACACGTGCTCGCAGAAGGATACTGAGCATAATACTAGTTTCAATGAGAGACAATCATCTGCATGGAATGAGACGAAGCCACAAGGACGGAACAACAGCTAATCACACCCCTTCTGTTGTGGTTGTTCCATTTCGCACGTTACTGCTTCAATCATGCCTATGCTTCCCATCATATTCGTAACTAAAAAAACAAACAAAAAAAAACGAAAAACTTTCTACCTCTATAAGCTAATCGAAATCACATTTTCAAAATAATCAGTGATAATTATTTATCATGTTAACCGAAAAAGTGATCTGTGTCCATAAAACATCACTTGATATTTCATTTATGTGTATATGATAAATATATACATATGTATATGTATATTTATACATGCATATATATATATATATATATATATATATATATATATATATATATATATATATATGTATATATATGAATATAATTTCGGTCAGCATGTTGAATCAGAATTTATAAAATGTTTTCTTCAAGAACCTAATGTCTCTTATCGTTGTTATTCTAGTGTAACAATATTTGAGGATTATTGCAGCAAAGACTATTGGGCATTTCTATGATTTCCTTAATTTCTTTTTCATAATTAAAATGCGATCAATTCTAAAATGACTATTTTTATCCTTTAACTTGTACTCACACACACACACACACACACACACACACACACACACACACACACACACACACACACACACACACACAAACACACACACACACACGTACAGAAAGGATGTCACAATCAATGTTTCCGGCAACATACATCCTGGCGTCCTTTCCGAGAGAGAGAGAGAGAGAGAGAGAGAGAGAGAGAGAGAGAGAGAGAGAGAGAGAGAGAGAGAGAGAGAGAGAGAGAGAGAGAGAGAGAGAGAGAGAGAGAAAATGTACTTGGGGAACTATTGACAAGGTCCATTCAAAAATTCAAGAACTTGCAGTGATGAATGATTAACAATAAGTATACATCATATTGCTGCATTCCAATAACTGTGACCACCACCATGTTTATGATCAAATGCAAGGTTTAGAAAGGCCTTCTAGAAGTGCCTTTCTTAACCTGTATTGAAAAAGAAACAGAAAGAAAAGAAAAAAAAAATATATATATACTAATACATGAAGGCTACTAACTTTGATTACACACTGCCAAGAACTTTGAGCGTGCCATTTTGGTATTTGAATAAATGCAACAAAGTGATTGAATATCTAAGTTTCTGTGGAGACCCCGATATATGACCATACAATGTCACTATAATGCTGTCGTTTTCTCGTAATAATATTTACTTTCTTCGCCGTAGGGGTTTATATGCATTAATGATATAATTTAGATGAAATACTAACGTTTCAGCTTGATTATATTTAATTTCGTGTAGATAAAACCTTTGAATAAACAGCTAGCGACATCTGACATATAACGTTCTTTTGATATACAATTTGTGAAATCGCATCCTGTCGCCAAAGAACGGGATCCAAGCGGCCGAACACAGCATAAGCACACTTAATGCATTTTACAGTTAATACTTGCTCATCAGCTCTTGCTCTAATGACATACATGAAGCTATTATCAATGCCTGAGGTTCAAGAGCTGTAACAGAGTATACAGAATCCAAGGAAACCCTTGTAATGCATATTCCCAAAATCATACCTTCCATTGCTCAATTTACGATGAGGCAGTGGTACAATATAATTTAAAAGCCTGCAAAAATGCCACCTGGTTCATATAAATCAGCCCACATTGCATGTCACACTGACTATAGTATGAAAAGTCTGCACCTTTGTCCAAACCGTGCCTACTAACCCAAAATAACATGATAATGACTTATACATCAGCCCAGTCAGGATTGTTAAATATCGTTGACAGTGCTTATATTTGTCAATTTGGTTTAACTGTAGAACCTTTTATTTTTTTGGTTGTCAATTGTTACCAAAAAAAAGTCCACTAAATGGCTTATTGTGTGCAAATCATTCATTCATTTTTTAAAGTAAAACTATATATTACTAAGATTTATTCCCGTCTCCGGAAAATTGCCAAATTGTACATCGCTATCACAAGTAGTCATTAGTATCAATCTCCTGAAAATGGGGCAGACTATGGTAAAATACTGAAATAAGAACTTCAAAATAATCAGCGTCAATTATGAAAAATACAGAAGAGGCATGCATGAGAACGATCAACTTCAAAATGAAAGATATGTAACTGACATCTGTTAATGCTACATGAACAGAATTATGCACCAAGTATTCTGATGTAATGCAGTTTTAATGAAATGGAAGATGGGATAATATAAACTTCATGTCCTGAATTTTGAAATTAGCCATCCTTCTTCATATAGACTTTCAAAACCTAAAATACTCTGTTAATGAGTACATCATAAATGGGAAACTGCAACTACAAAAGCCAACACAGATATCTAAAAAGGTACTAAAGATCCTATGCAGTATGTCTAAGGCCAAAGTTCCCCCGAGAACTGTTACTGTATTCTCAAATCAGAAAACTTTATTTATTACATACTTTGAAATGTCTCTCCTCGCTCATTGTGTGAATGTAAGGAAACAAGCATTACTCCTGCAAGCTCTAACATGCCATTACACTTTTCTATTAAAAAATTAATGCACTTACAGTAATTGTAAATTTGCGTTTTAATGGTTTAGTTCGACAGTCAGGATGAAGTGAGAAATAATCCAGAGAGCTGAATGAAAATCTATACCATTGAGAGTGTAATAATTACATTTTACTGCTGATATTACTCAAAGTCAGTAGACAGTTCATAAGCACTTTTCTCTCCATGAATAATAATCAGCTATGAAATGATGTAACTTTTTGGAAAGTGGTAATATTTCCTGTTAGTATTTCATTTGTCTATTTTAATCAATGCATTTTTCTTTCACAATAAAGTATTTACATCTTAGATCTTTCCTTTAACCATTACCAAGAAAGAAAGAAAGAGGGAAAAAGGAAGGAAGAAAAAATACCTAAATCATTTACCAGCCTAAGCATTTACAAACTCGAAAACCCAAGAAAAGGTTGCAATAAATACCATACCAAAAATGAATACATGGAACAGGAAGAAAAGCTTCATTGTATGTAATATATAAAAGATGTAGTCTGACATGCTATTTATTTACCTGATAATTTCAAGAATTACTCTGGATTAAGTATATGACAATAGGAATACTTTTAGGATTTTTAAATTTCTACATAAGGCTTGTTCAGATAATCCTGTTCGCGAAATACAATCCCTTTTTGCCAGTAATGTAGAAATGTGAATGTTATACTTTTCTATTGTTTTTTGTCTGTGAGAAATCAATACCCATTAGATTCCATGGCTAAGAAGTATGGTGAAACTATTGTTGTTGCTTGAACATAATTTACAATACTTTATGGACTTTACACAAAAAATAAGGAAGAAAAAAAGTATGATAGGAAAATTTTATCAAATATACAGAGAGAAAAATTACATAACACAAAGAGTAGCAGACAAAGAGTGTTGCATATGGGGGTCGGGGGGATGGGTAGCTCTCCTGGTAGAGATTTATCAGATGACAGACACATTTCAAGCATTCCAGACAAGTTGAGGCTCTTTCATGTTGGTCAATACTGTAAAAAATACACCAACAATAAATAAGGAGATCCTGGCTTTTATGGTTCCAGTAAAGAAAAGTAGATTCATTTTATAAGTTAAAATTACTGGATATCCAAGCTTCTACTACCATTTTCTTATCAATTTTAGCACAGCCATACATATACTACTGCTAAATCATTTATATACTCCGGTATACCTTGTATTACTCAACTGGGAGGTACAGTTTGTCATTGTCAGGGAGAAAGGAGAAATATCCTATAACTCCACACCACATCTAGTCTCTGAATGTAAAAGTTAAAACTCTGAAAACTAGAAAATTAAAGACAATGGATTGTACAAAATACGGATATTTGAATTACAAAAAGGAAAAAATAAGGAGACGAGTGGAATAGGAAAAAAAAAAAATTAATAAATCTTAAAACACTTAAGTAAGGATGCACACTATTATTCTTCTTGGAATCCTAAAAAGTCTTTCTTAGAAAAACATTGTTTATTAGGAGAGGTCTGTACAGCAAAAATATATTGCAATATACATAATTTACATTACATGACACAAAATACAGACAGAATCATAAATACTATGTCACAGAGCAACACGTTTCTTTCTTATTTCTTTTTGAAGTACTTTAGAATAGAAGTTGATTCGTTTGAACTTTTTGAATTCTGTGTTTTTTTTCTAGGGGGACTAAATACTGGCTTTTCCAACTTTTCCTCACCCAGAATTTCTGCCTGCAGTTCTTTTGGGAGTGAATTGAAAACATCTGGATCAATGCCCTTCTTTATGAGGACATCAATATTGTTTTTGGTTTCTACAGGTAATTCAGCTTTACCATTACTTACTCTTTCAGGTTCTGGGAAATGATCCTTGTGAACTGTGTTGTCTCTGCTACACGAAGGTTTCTCGACACTAAGACTATCACATGAGCTATTGTTTAACTCGCTTATCTTTTCTGTCTCCTTTCCCAATTTAACCCTTTTGTTGTCTGCTTCACGTGCATCCTGATTCTGGGTATTTTTGAAATACACATCCAAGCTGCGTTTTCTATTCACATTACATTTGGCAGGGCTTTTGCTTTTACTCGTTGGGATTTTCACTCCTTTACCTTCTGTTTTGTTCTCCCTATTGTTGGTTAATGAGCTTGCCTGGTAAGATCTCAAGACTTCCGCTTGGAGGTCTGGGGGAAGAGATTCAAATACTTCTCTGTCAATCCCACTGGGTAAATCTGACACTTGAGATGGCAATGATTTAGAACTATCTATCTCAGAGGGATATTTCTCAGCTGATTCTTGTGCTTCATCATCAGCTTTATTTTCACTGTTGTTGTGTGACTGATCCTGAGCATGGTGATATGTCTTCTCACTGTATACATCTTCTATGGGCTGGTGAAAGTCCTCTGCATCACTTGCTTCTTCAGATGAAGAATCCTTTTCTTGGAGTCTGATATCTAAAGGGCTTGGTTCTTCTCTGACAAGTTTGCTGTCTAACTTACATGAACCCTCTGAATTCTGGGATACGTTCAAGGGCTTAGGTTCAACCGTTCTTATGCTTTCCTTTTTCTCCTTAGAGGTTTTTGAGAAGAAAGAGCTTATTGCCTTTCCTTCTTTAGCCCTCTCTATGAACTTTGTGAATCCGACACCAACAAGAGTTAGATGAAAGGGTTTACTTACATCGACCATTTTGTGAAATAAGGTTATTATCAAATTCATCAAATCTGACTTAGTTTTTTCTGTGATATCTTTCACTCCAGGGGAAAACAGAGATGCTAAAAGTGGCACTTGCTTAGTTTCTCTGTGTCCGAATCTTAGCTCTTTGTCAAATTTACGAACTGATACCTTGAGAGCTCCAGGTACACGGCCATCCTCTGCTAAGAGTTTTAAGAGTCTCCCTAGTAGAGTGTGATATTTGATACGCACCTCTGCAATTGAGCTCACCTTCTTAAATGCATCCTCTAAACCAATACTCTGTGGTTTCCCACTTTTTCTAACAAGGCTCTCATCTATGCCATAACTTAGATCCTTTAATCTCTTACTTGTCTCTTCATCAAAACGAGTGTGTAATGTACTTAAACTTGCATTCTGTAGATCTTGTACTGTTGAAATGCTCAAGTCCTCCAGAATCTTGAAGGTGGTGCTTCCAATCCCTGGAATACTTCTAGCCTGTTTCAGGGACTCCATGACATCATGCACTTGCCATGGGAACACCACTGTTTGCTGGTTTGGCTTATAGTACCCGGAAATGAGCTTGGCCAGGAGCTTATTGTGGGCCACCCCAGCACAGCAGGTTATCCCTGTCGTCTCCAGGATCTGCTGACGTATTTTCTTGGCCAAGTGGCTACCTGCCGTTAGTCTCTGCAGGCATCCACATCCACAGGGATCCCCCAGAACCTTATTATCCTCCTCTTTGTCCCCAAATACATGCCCCTCAACTGCATTATACTCTGGAGAAATATAGTCTCCCACAATGTCTGTGATATCGACGTAGTTTTCATCAAGCCCGAGTCTT